GCTATCTTGGTCTACAGAGGAATTGTAGGCCAGCAGAGGCTACATTGTGAGGCTCTGCCTCTCCTCAAAAACAGTCCTGGGCCCAACTCACCACTGGTAATTCATACTGATCTCTTCACCCTCAGTCCCATGGCTCTCTTGTTTGTTCTAACGACTGGTAGTGGATTTATAAAATCCTGGTGATGCCACTGTTCCTGTCACTCACTCCTGGTGGAGCTTGGCCAAGTGACTGCCTGTCTCTGAGCCTTGGCAGATCGGCTGGAGATAGAGAAGGTGCTACTCCCTGTCCCACTGAGTCACTTGGAAGACTGAAGGACAAGAAGTATGGAAAGGTCTCGGCACACTGGCCAGCCCGTAAGAAGCACTCAATACCCGCTCTAACTGTGGAGCACAGGTTTGAGAGTCAGGCTGCCTTGGCCATGAGCCAGCCTGGCTCGGCTCTGCCGTTTGTGGCTGTGTGACTTCAGCCACGTCAGTTAACTCTCTGAACCTCATTTCCTGCTGGGAGGAGGAAAACACAGATCTCCTGAAGGACAGATGTGAGGATCGAATGACCAGGCATGTTTTGCTGCCCGGTACGGCCCACGTGGGGATTGCCACATCTCCTCCCTCGGCTTTGAGCGGCACTGGCTTACCAGTGTCCAGGCTGGAGGCCGTCCCACTGTCCGTCTGCTGGGGCTCAGCACCTGGCCTGCCCAGTGCAGCTGGGGAAAGTCAACAGGACCCTGTGACTGGCTCCTCCCAGGTGACAAGCATGTCCAGGACACAGACAGCAGCAAGCATCGACCACACTGCTGATCCCAAACCCTCTGCCACTGTGCATGCTGCCACCTCAGCCCCAGACGCTGGCCAACTCTTCTTTCCCTCCTGCTCCCAATACCCGGAATGGTCCCTGTCTTTCCCTCTCCCAGCCTGCACCTCAAAATCGAAATGCCCTCCGTCAGACGCAGTCCCATCTCTGTTTTCTCTTCACTGGTTGAACTGTCTTAGCTTTAAGTTTCTTTTTAAAATATAAATTCTTGTTACATGTGGGAGTCAGGATAACCTCTGGGAATCAGCTCTCTCCTCCCAGTGCAGACCCTGGGAGCAAACACGGTCTTTGTCCACAAGCCCCGTGTATCCCTTGAGCCCTCCCATTGGCGCTTAAGGATCTTTTCGTTTGTGCTCCGGTTAGCCTGGGATTCACTATGTAGACTAGACTAGCTTCAGACTCACAGAGATTCTCCTGCCTCTGCCTCCCGAGTTCTGGGATTACAGGCATGCGCCACCACAGCCTGGCCCCATTTTGCTTCTGAGACAGGAACTAATATAATCCATGTTAACCTTGGACTTACTATGTAGCTGAGAATGACCTTGAACTTCTTTTTTAAAATTATTTATTTTATTTCTAAAATTTAAGTTTTATGTAGACGGGTATTTTGCCTATATGGATGTCTGTAGCTGGAGTTTTCCTGCCTGGCCCACAGTCAGGGCAAATCTCTCTCACCCGCCAGTCCCAAGCCGCTCAAACCCGATCAAGTAAACACAGAGACTTATATTGGTTACAAACTGTATGGCCGTGGCAGGCTTCTTGCTAACTGTTCTTACAGCTTAAATTAATCCATTTCTATTAATCTATACCTTGCCACGTGGCTTGTGGCTTACCGGTACTTTACATCTTCCTTGTCCTCATGGCGGCTGGCAGTGTCTCTCCCCCCAGCTTCCTGTTCTCTCAATTTTCCTCTCTGTTAGTCCCGCCTATACTTCCTGCCTGGCCACTGCCAATCAGTGATTTATTCATTGACCAATCAGCAACACATTTGACATACAGACCATCCCACAGCAGATGTCTGTGCGCCACACGTGTGCCCAAAGAACCAAAAGAAGGTATAAGCTCCCTTGGGACTGGTGTTACAGATGGTTGGAGCCGCAATGTGGGTGCTGGGAATTGAACCCAGGTCCTCTGAAAGGGCAGCCAGTGCTCTTAATCACTGAGCTGTCAGCCCTCTCACACCTCTTAAGTCCCCGTTGGCACCAGGAACTTTTTATAGCTCCCCTGGGCATTTGTCCCCTCATTGCGGTAAAATGGCCGCCCACTCTCTCGTGGCCCCATTCCAAACAAGAATGAAGCTTTCATCCTGCACTCATGTTTTCAGCAGGAAGAAAGTCCCTAGTGTTGGCGAATGTTATTGCTAATAGTATTGACATCGGTAACGGCTGCATCATTAAACAGAAAGGAATGAGATTACCAGCATAGGTTTAAACCTCTTGTGACTTATCTCCTGTGACAGGAGAGAGAACCACTTTCCTGGGGCACCAGGCTGTGCATACCTGAGTGAACCCGAGGTCCTGTGAACCGGGAAGAACGCCTCTTCTGAGTTCTCATCATTTCCCCCTCAGATGGCCCAAAACTATCGACTTGTTCCAACACACTCCATATAGACACCAGAGGCTCACACTGGACTCTCAGAGCCCTGCTGCCGGCTGTGTGACTTCACACAGGTCACTTTGCCTCTCTGTGCCTGACTCGCCTGTGGCATTGAATGGGGACTTGACGGCTCTTGCACTGTAGACTGTCCAGGTGATGAAATGCAGAAGGCAAGAGGGGACTTAGCTCGGTGCCTGGAACGAGAGGAACCACCAGATCCACAAAACCTGTCTTCACACCACAGCCCAGGCTGACCAGAACTCACAGCAGTCCTCCTGCCTGAATCACCAGGACTGGTCCCTCCTCCTCATCTACCCTCTCCTGAGACTGGCCCCAGATTTTTATTTTTTGAGGGGGGAGGCTCTGATTTATGGAGAATGGAACCTAATCCTCATCCCACGTGCTAGGCAAGTGCTTTATCATTAAGTTCTCCTCTGCCCTCTTTTACCTTTAAAATTATTTATTTTTGTTCTGTGTGGTGTTTTGTCTGTGTGTATCACCTGCATCCAGAGGAAGACTCGGATTCCTTGAAACTGTGAGCTGCCGTGTGGGTGCTGGGATTTGGACCTGTGTCCCCTGGAAGAGTAACCAGTGCTCTTAGCTGCTGAGCTGTCTCTCCAGCCCCTATTTTTAAAGATTAATTTATTTTACTTTTATGTATATGAGTGTTTTGCCTGAATGTATGTATGTGCATCATAGGTATGCAATGCCCACGTGGGCCAGAAGAGGGAGCTAGGACCCCTGGAACTGGAATAACAGTTGTGAGCCACTGTGTGGATGCTGGAAACTGAACTCTGGTCTTCTGTTCCATCTTTTTACTGTTTTTATTTTATTTTTTATATTTATTTGTTTGTTTGTTTATTTATTTTGAGACAGGGTTTCTCTGTGTAGCTTTGGAGGCTGTCCTGGAACTTGCTCTGTGGAGCAGGCCAGCCTTGAACTCACAGATATTGGCCTGCTTCTGCCTCCTGAATGCTGGGATTAAAGGCATACACCATTACTGCTGGGCCTATATTTTTACTTTTAAAAACACATTTTTTTGCTTTTTCTTTTGGGGTGGTGTGGTTTGTGGTAAGGGGTCTTGGTGGTGACTGGGGGGGTGTGATGACAGTATTTGATTTTGAGATAGGGTTTCATATAGCACAGGCTGGTTTTTGTTTTTGTTTTTTTGTGTGTGTGTGGTTTTTTGAGACAGGGTTTCTCTGTGTAGCTTTGCACCTTTTTCCTGGATCTCGCTCTGTAGACCAGGCTGGCCTCGAACTCACAAAGATCCACCTGCCTCTGCCTCCCGAGTGCTGGGTGCTGGGATTAAAGGCGTGCGCCACCACCGCCCGGCCAGGCTGGTTTTTAAGCCCCCATTCTCCTGCCTCTGCCTTCTAGGTACTGGAGTTACAGACATGTACATGGACCCCCCACACCTTACCCCGCCCCCCCCCGCCCCCCCGCCCCCCCCCCCCCCCCATGCCCTGTTTTACCTTTTTTATTTTCCAGAAGGCAACTAGTTTGGACTACCTTTTTTTTTTTGGGGGGGGGGGTGTTCAAGACAGTGTTTCTCTGTGTAGCAGTGCTGCCCTGGCATCTGCTCTGTAGACCAGACTGGCCTCGAATTCACAGAAATCCACCTGCCTCTGCCTCTCAAGTGCTGGGGTTAAAGGTGTGTGCCACCACCTCCCGGCCCTTCTTTTATTCTGAGACCAGGATGGTCTTGAACTTCTGGTTCTTCTGCCTCAGCCTCCTGAGAAGCTGGGAATAGAGGCCTGCAGATCACTAGATCTTCCCTCAGGGCTCTGATCGTTCCTGTCTCCAGAGATCCATATATTCCACAGCCTCAGGTTCTTCCTGGGGCACAAGAACGACCATGTATGCAAAGCCCAGGGGAGCCTCTGGCAGACTTCCAAGTGTCAGGGCACAGGGTTCTGAGGCACAGGAAGAATGCTTGTCTGTCTCCTTTCTGGGCTGTGAGCATCTCAGTGTAGAGAAAACACGTAGACACGTGAACGCAGGTTGTCAGGGAGCACCTTTACCCACTGAACCACCCCACCAGCCCTCAAGAAAGCCCTTTTAGCATGAAGAGCAGTAAGTGGCTGAGGGATATCAGGGTGGCCTCCCCAGCACAGGACTCTCTACAGACAGGATCGAAATGCTTGGCTAGAGTCCGAGGCAGGAAGAAGGGCTCACAGAGGGGGTCACCCTAAGCCCATACTGTGCAGCTGCTCAAGGATCCAGAAGGAGAACTGACTGACTTAGGTTGGCACAGGAGAGTTGACTGTCAATCCCTTGAATGACAGGGACCCTTTCTCCAGGGCCCATTCCCTCACTCCCAGTTGACTGGAGGCAGGGTGGGGTGGGGGGTGGAGTGTGGGGTGGAGACCAGCTTCTGCAGGAAACTCAGGTACCTGCCCCCCCACCCCCGAACCTGAACAGTCTGTTCTTGTTTACGACCCCCATCCCAGGGGAACAGCGATTGCTCATCCCTGCATGTGATCTGAGAGGGCCAAATCTTTGGGGCCTGGAAGAAACTCAAGCCCCGCCAGCAGCCTGGCTTCGGAATGCTCAGCTGGTCCCCTCCATGTGACTGAGGTACAGCTATAAATATCAGAGGGGCCTCAGACCAAGACAGAAGTCGGACGCCAGGAGAAGACAAAAAGGATTCGATTGAGCTTGGGGACAAAGGCAAGCCCTCCAGTCCCACTCGGTGGGACACACGTGGAAGAGACAGCCCTCTCTCAAAGCAACATGGATTATAAATCCAGCCTGATTCCGGATGGGAACGCCATGGAGAACCTGGAGAAACAGCTGATCTGCCCCATCTGCCTGGAGATGTTTACCAAACCTGTGGTCATCCTGCCCTGCCAGCACAACCTCTGCCGGAAGTGTGCCAACGACATCTTCCAGGTCAGCACTAAGCAGGGCCAGGACCTGGAAGCCCCCCCCCCCCCCGCCCCGCCCCCCAGGACGCTGGCTTCTCAGATTCCTCTCCCTCTCAGCCCAGTGTGAAGCTATGCAGAGACCTCTGGGAAGGGCTAGGGGTGGGGGGCGGGGGGGCTAAGGGGGAAGGGGAGCTGCTCTGGTCCTTTTCCATGGATGCACTAAGAGTCCCCACGCTGCCCACAGCTCCCTGCTCTGCCTGGGTGGCTCACTGTTGATTCTCTAGTCAAGGTTCAAATGCCTAAGTGATAAGGGGGAAGGCTGGCAGAGAGGAGAGAGAAACCAGGCCCTGGGGCAGGAGCCAGCTTTAGGGTGGCAGGGGGCCTAGAGATTTGGAAGGAGGGTGCCAAGAGGCACATGGCCACAGCAACATCCTCAGAGGCTGTCTGCTCCTACACAGGGGCAGCGGGACGCCATCTTCCCGAGGTGGAAAGGGAATAGTTGTGACCGCACTCAAGGGTCCTGAGCCACTACAGAAAACGGTCTTTCAAAGTCAGATGTAGCTGCACATGCCAACAATCCCAGCATTCGGGAAGCTGAGGCAGGAGGATTGCTAAGAGTCTGAGGCCAGTCTGTGCTAACTAATGAGTTTGAGAAACAAGTCCCTGTCTCAAAAACAAAACCAAAAAGCCAAAAATGCCTTTTCACCAATTTCCTTAACAATCCTAGGAGCTGGCTCCAATTCTAAGGCCTGTGATATCAGTGGTAAACTGAGGCATAGAGAGAGATAGTTGCTTGCTTAAAGTCACATGACTTGAACTTACGTTGGCTGACACTGAACTTCTTGACTGTTTGAATACTCCAATCAAGACACTCCACCACATGGGTGGGCTGGTTCTAGGTCAAGACCAGGAGCCTGTGTCCTTTGGTTGGGCTGGTGTGTTTGGGGTAGTTAGGGAAAGAGGACCTGGAGACGAGAGAGGGAAGAAACTCCAGCCTCATCTTTGCCTTGGCTGTCTGCAGGCTGCGAATCCCTACTGGACCAACCGAGGTGGCTCAGTGTCCATGTCCGGAGGCCGTTTCCGCTGCCCCTCGTGCCGTCACGAGGTGATCATGGACCGGCACGGGGTGTATGGTCTGCAGAGGAATCTACTGGTGGAAAACATCATTGATATCTACAAGCAGGAGTGCTCCAGGTCAGTGTGCAGCTGAACAGCCCAGCCTCCTTCCCCAGCCACTCCTCCAGGAGATGACAGCCACATTCATCAGTACAGACAGCCCTCACCCTCTACCTCAGACAGAACCTCAGCTCTTGGTATACTGGGGGCATGAAAGAGAGTCCCGAGAACAGAGCATGAGTGTGGGTGTGTGCTTATGAGAGAGAAGGACTGGAGAGATGGCTCAGAGGTTAAGAGCACTGGCTGCTCTTCCAGAGGTCCTGAGTTCAATTCCCAGCAACCACATGGTGGCTCACAACCATCTATAATGAGATCTGGCGCCCTCTCCTGGCAGGCAGGGATACGTGCAGACAGAATACTGTATACATAATAAATAAATAAATCTTTAAGAGGGAGGGAGGGAGGGGAGAGAGGGAGAGAGAGAGAGAGAGAGAGAGAGAGAGAGAGAGAGAGAGAGAGAGAGAGAGAGAATGAATGAGAATCTATGGCTGAGAAAGCACCTGGGGAGAATGCGGCCAAGTGGTCCATATGACGGCAGGGGTCAGGCACCAAGAATGCTCCATCCTTCGCGATTATCCCTACATAGAGAAGGAAACAAGGAAATGAGGCTCCAAGAAGGGAAGTCAACTGTGGTGACTCATGTGTTCCCAGCTCTTGAGAGGCAGGGACAGGAGGATTACTGTGAGTTCCAGGCCAGCATAGCCTACAGAATGAGACCCTGTCTCACTCTTCCTCAATAATAATAGTAATAACAACAACAGTAATAACGGCTTTGGTCAGTTACCCAAGTTTACCAGTTAGGACAGGAATGATCTGGGCAGAATTTGCGGGTGGCAGGGGTGCGCAGTACTGGGCACCGACTGGAAAGAGACACAGCTACTGGTGATCCTGACTGGGGCTTGATGGTAGAACCTGCTGAGAACACAGGAAACCCTGGCCCTGGGCGCTGGAACCCACAGCACCAGCGAAGAACATCCCAACGAGACTCCTGGTCCACTGACCTCCTAGTGAAGATGGAGCACATCTGTAATCCCAGCACTAGGAGGGCTGAGGCAGGAGAACAGAGTTCAAGTCCAGCCCATGCAGCCAGACTCAGTCAAGGGGACAGTCAGATCTGAAATATTAGACATTCATGGAGCACCGACTGTATGTGGGTGCTGTCCTCAGCTCCTCCACGCATTTCCTGTCTAGTCTCACCGAGATATGACAAGGCCATCTCATCCCTGTGTTAGCACGAGAAAATGAAGGTTCGGGTTAGACTCGCGCGTGGTGAGGATGAGAGGGTGTAACTGACTCCGTGGTGAACATTCTTCCCCCTCCCTGCGTGCGTGCGTGCGTGCGTGCGTGCGTGCGTGTGTGTGTGTGTGTGTGTGGTGTCTGTGGAGGCCAAAAGAGGGTACTGGGTCCATATATTAGTCAGGGTTCTCTAAAGGAACAGAATTTACAGAATAAATATATACACAGGATTATTAGAATGGCTTACAGGCTGCGGTCCAGCTGGTCCAAGAATGACCGTCTACCAACAGAAGGTCCAAGAATCCAGTAGTGTTCAGCCCACAAGACTGATGTCTCACTTAGTCTTCAGTATATGCTGGAATCCCAAAGAAGTCGGCTCTGATGCCAGTGAAGGAATGGACTGGGTAGTGAGAACAAACAGGCAGAGAGAGAGAGCAAGCTTCCTTCCTCCATGTCTTTCATATTGGATGCCAGCAGAAGGTGTGGTCCAGATTAGCAGTGGATCTTCACACCCCAAAAAAGAACTGGATTAAAAGTGGGTCTTCCCACTTAAAATTATTTAATTAAGAAAAAATCCCTTATGGGTATACCCAGCCACTTGGACTTTAGATAATTCCAGATGTAGTCAAGTTGATAAGATATCGCCATCACAACCCCCGGGGAACTAAAGCTGGGGTTACAGATGGTTGTGAGCTGTCATGTGGGTGTTGAGAACCAAACCCAGGTCCCCTGCAAGAGCAATCAGCTCTCTTAATTGCCCACCTATCTCTCCAGTCTCCACAGTAAATACTCTAAACTTCTTTGTTATATTACATCTCCTGTAGCTAGAACCAACACTACAAATGACATTGTTGAGTCCCAGGCATGGTGGGTGGCATATGCCTGCGATCCCAGCTCCTTGGGAGTCTGAGGCAGGAGGATCTCCGTTTCAAGGCTCACCTAGGCTACATTGCAAATGCAGTGCCTGCCTGGACCACTCAGCAAGATCCTGATTGAAAGTAAAAATAAAATAATAAAAATAAGGGGCTGGAAATGTGGTAGAACTCTTTCTAACACAAGGCTCTGTCCAGTCTCTTCCCCAGATAAGACATGCATATACGTTTTAAAATTATTTTTATTATTTGTTATTAGTATGTGGTGTGGGTGTGAGTGCGCACACACACCATGGCCCATGTGTGGAGGTCAGAGGATGACTTTGTGGAACCCATTTTCTCCTTCTGCCTTTACATGAATTCAGGGATCAAATTCAGGTTGCTGGCCTCTGCTGCAATACAAGTACCCTTATCTGCTGAGCCATCTTGTCAGCCCACAAATGCCTGTTTCTGATGATAATAACGACAATGATGGTGGTGATGATGATGATAATAATAATAATAATAATGCAATTTATAGTATACCAATGACAGCCTACTGCTGTAGAGTCCTGAACTTGGGTCTGGACTCTTTGAGGCTTTTCCCTAACAGGCAAATGACAATGAGAGTTGCCCTTACCCAGGGTCTGCTCAGAGCTCTGCAGGTCACATTCTGACATGGTTGGCACACCTCTGAGGGACACTGAGGCTTGAAGAACTAAGATCACACAAAACAGCCAGTGTTTGACCCTGACACCTGGCCACCAGGGAGGGGGGAGGTGTTCTCAAGCAGCTGGCCCTCTCCACCTTGCTTCACACCCTGTACTGCTCCTGCCACCCTAGGGGACAGAGGCAAGTGGCACCAGGAAAACCCCCATCGCCACAGCCACAGTATGGGGCTCCTCATCCGCACAGCCACAGTGTGGACTCCCAGATGAAAACAAAATCCAGCCTGGAAAGGGGCCCCAGTAAAGTCTGGGGTGTGACAGCCATGCAGGGCTGCTGCGAGGTGAGAGGTTGACACTGATGGAGGACAGTCACTATCTGAGACTTATGAGATGCTTACGTGTTAGGGGCTGGGGGTCAGAGGTCATGTAGACACAGCTGCTTATCCTAAATGGATGTGAGTTCTGTCTAGCTTGGGGGGTAAGGCTTCGACTCTAAAACCCCAGTCTACGCTGGGGATGACTGATGCTGGAGAGGAGTGCACCAGGTACCCTAGGCAGAGATAGCAATCAAGGGAGAAAGGCGTCCTAGGACAGAGAAACTCTTGGGCTGGCAAGATGGCTCAATGAGTAAAGGTGCTTGCCGCCAAGCCTGACTACCTGAGTTCTAGCCCCAGGACCCACATGGTGGAAGAAGAGAACAAACTCCTTCAAGCTGTCCTCTGACCTCCACACATGTGCCGTCTCACACACACACACCGCCCAATATACACACATAATAAATAAAAGAAGTTTTTAAAACTAAAAAGGAGCCAGGTGGTAGTGGCGCATGCCTTTAATCCCAGCACTCAGGAGGTAAAGGCAGGTGGATCTCCGTGAGTTGAGGCCAGCCTGGTCTACAGAGCGAGATCCAGGACAGGCTCCAAAGATACACAGAGAAACCCTGTCTCAAAAAAAAAAAAAAAAAAAAAAAAAAATTAAAAAGGAGATTTTGGGGCCCCAAAGAGCCTTTCTATAGTGTAGGTCAAGGTTTGCACTAGGCTTCTGGACAGCCCTGCCCCGCACCATGTGTTGTTTGTATGGCTTAGGGTGTACATACTGTCCCCTTCTCTGAACTCTCAGGATGTGTTCACTCATGTATCCTCTCTGCTTGCGTTTCATTTCCAGTCTCCACGCCAGGTACTGTATGTTATAGACATGGGGAAGAAAACCAAGCAGGCTTCCCCGCCTGGTTGAAGGCCACTGTCTGATAGATTAAATATAGACATAAGGACTACCATCGGAATAAGTTGCCCAGGCCCCAGCAACTGAGAGCTATGGGGCTATAATTAGAGCAAGGCGTTCTAGCCTCCCCTGCCTGTGCTGCTGGGCGACCTTGGGCAAGTCCATTCATTTCTGGGGCTCTGTCGCCTCTCCCCTAAGGTTAGCACCTTCTGGCCTGACTCTGGAATTCTGGGGCCCTCCCCAGGCCCCCTGTACCAACTCAGGCCAGCTCCAACACTGCAGTCTGTTTGGGGGTTTGGGAACAGGTTTGATATCATTAGCTTCCTTGATCTTGGGCTCTCAGAAGATAAAATGGAGAATGTCTGGAGCAGCCAGGCACCCTGGGAGCAGACATGTGAATGTGGTGGCCTCCTGTGCTTGGAGATAGGAAGGGACAGGGAGAGGGGACATCCCTGACTTGTGATTCTTCTCCTCCTCAGTCGGCCCCTGCAGAAAGGCAGCCACCCGATGTGCAAGGAGCATGAAGATGAGAAAATCAACATCTACTGCCTCACATGTGAGGTGCCTACCTGCTCCTTGTGCAAGGTGTTCGGGGCCCACCAGGCCTGTGAGGTAGCCCCGCTGCAAAACGTCTTCCAGGGACAGAAGGTATTACCTACAGCCACTGTGTCCAGATGATTCCGAGGGTGGATTTGACCCTTGTGGATGTGCTGAGCCGGCCTTTCAGGAATAGTCCCTCTGGAGGGACTTCCCGGGCCACAGGGACAGCGGCCGGTGCCTCCCTGGGGGAGGTGACTGAGCTCATGGGTTATACTTAGAGTCACTTGAGAACACCTGGGTGTGGCCACAGGGAGAAGGCCAGACCCTAGGGTCAGGCCACCAGGCCCTTCCAGGCCATGGCTTCCTCTCCTGTGTGCTCTGGGGTCCCAGACCTCTCCACCTGAGCCTCTCATGAGCACAAGGCAGATTCGAGACTCTTTCCTGGGCCTTGGCAACCCCAGCTTCCTATCTCTGTAGTGAGCTGTGGCCCTTTCTAAACTCTCTGTTCCCCACATTTCATTTGGCTCTTGGACTCTTTTGTTCTAGAACTTTCCAATTCTATTCCTTTTCTCAGAAACTAGCAGCTGGGTATGACAGCACAGGCCTTTAAGCTTAGCACTCATGAGGCAGAGGCAGGTGGATCTCTGTGAATATGAGGCCAGCCTGGTCTACAGAGTAAGTATGCCAGAGCAGCATAGTAAGACCCTGTCTCAAAAAAGAAAAGGAAAGGAAAGTTTTTCCTTTGTCCTTTGCCAGTACTTTGTTGTATGTTTTGGGATGCTCCGTTCCTCTATGTGAGTCTCACCCATCCATAAAGGATACAGCATCTGTAGTAGTCTCTGCTTTAGGCCTGAACTGCTCCCCAAAAGGAGGGATGGAAACCCTACTTTTGACTCTCTGGGAAAGGGGGTACAGGAACATCACGGTGCTGTGATGCCGAGAAGCAGCAGCCGGCTCTGAGTCTATTTCTGTCTCTCCTCTCCCCCCTCCCATCCAGACTGAACTGAGTAACTGCATCTCCATGCTGGTTGCGGGGAATGACCGAGTGCAGACTATCATCTCTCAGCTGGAGGACTCCTGCCGAGTGACGAAGGTGAGCATGATGACTGGCCCTGTCAGCGGTGAGGCGGAAGCCTCCAGTGCAGCTGTCTCAGGGCACTTGAGTTGTGAGTATGGGTTGGGGTTTGGCGCCTTGGGTGCCCAGTAGAGATGGCAGAGAGGGGCACAGTCATTCCCCTGCTCGCTCGGCAGATGGTTCCTGAGCACAGCAACTGTGTCAGACCCTGCCCAAAGGACTGCACGGACCCACCAGTAACTCCCTGAATGTCTCCAGCATCAATCATTTTGCTGCAGAGCAAGGTTCCTGGACCTTGAAAAGCTCACACTTGACCCTGGAGCCTGTGGAAGCTCAGGTTCTGACTCAGTGGATCAGGAACGAAATAGGATTCTGCACTTCTTCATTTATTATATATATATATATATATATATATATATATATATATATATATATATATTTTTTTTTTTTTTTGGTTTTTTGAGACAGAGTTTCTCTGTGTAGTTTTGGTGCCTGTCCTGGATCTCACTCTGTAGACTAGGCTGGCCTCAAACTCACAGAGATCCGCCTGCCTCTGCCTCCCGAGTGCTGGGATTAAAGGCATGCGCCACCACCGCCCGGCCTCTCCAGCCCTCTTTCTGTCTGTCTTTCTTATTTTCTTTCATTTGATTTTTTGAGATAAGGTCTTCTGTGGAACAGGATGAACCTGCATTTACTATGTAGTCTGGATTGGCCTTGAACTCCTGATTCTCCTACCTCTATCTGCCGAGTGCTGGGATTACAGGCATGTACCTGGCTGAAATTTTGCATTTCTTTTTTCGAGACAGGGTTTCTCTGTGTAGCTTTGCGCCTCTCCTGGAACTCACTTGGTAGCCCAGGCTGGCCTCGAACTCACAGAGATCCGCCTGGCTCTGCCTCCCGAGTGCTGGGATTAAAGGCGTGCGCCACCACCGCCCGGCTGAAATTTTGCATTTCTAATGAGCTTTGGAAGGCTATTGGTTCCGCAGGCTGTAGAGGCAGAGGTAGTTCTGGCAGCCAGACGTGATGCCAACTCTGTAATATCAGCATTTGGGAGATGAATGCAAACAGAGAAATTCAAGATCCTCCTCCTACACATAATAAGTTTGAAGCTAGCCTGGGCTACATCAGACTGTCTCAAAAACAAACAAACAGAAGAAGAAGAGAAAGAAAAGAGAAAAAGAAAGAATGAAGCTTTCCCATTCGTGGAGGAGTATTCAAAATTCTGCTCTTCCTAGCCGCAGCGGCACACACCTCTAACCCCAGCACTCGGGAAGCAAAAGCAGGCGGATCTCTGTGAGTTTGAGGCCAGCCTGGTCTACAGAGTGAATTCCAGACAAGCCAGGGCTGCACAGTGAGACCCTTTCTCCAGCAAGAAAAATGATCTGGTCTCTTCTTGAGGCAGGGTTAGAGCTGGGGGGTGGGGGTGGGGAGCACCCTAACTGCAAGTGGACTCAACTGTAGGAAGGAGAGGAACATCGTGGTCCCCCGAGTGCTAGGTGTCCCATTCTGAAAGCTTCCACTGCCAAGTCCACTTTACTTTTCTGAGACAGAGTCTCGCTGAGTTACGCCATGTCAACCTTCCGCACAGGCGCGTACTTCCCATTAGCTTTGCCTCCTGCGGGATGAGGACTTGGCAGGCTCTCTTCCCTCTGCAGATGGCTGGTCCCTGGGCCCTTCTGTCTCAGAAAGTGGGTCGGGACCCCATGAGATGAGACCGTAGGGTTTCTGTCCTCAGGAAAACAGCCACCAGGTGAAGGAGGAGCTGAGCCAGAAGTTTGACGCCCTCTACGCCATCTTGGATGAGAAGAAGAGTGAGTTGCTGCAGCGGATCACACAGGAGCAGGAGGAGAAGCTGGGCTTCATCGAGGCCCTGATCCTCCAGTACCGAGAGCAGCTGGAAAAGTCCACCAAGCTTGTGGAAACAGCCATTCAGTCCCTGGACGAGCCTGGAGGGGCCACCTTCCTCTTGGTGAGTGGCACCTGGAGGGGTTGGGTGGATTTGAACTATACTCTTCCTTAACCCTTGACCAGGCCATTTAAATCTTGGTAAGACACTAGGCATGGAAGTTCATGCCTGGAATCCTAGTACTTGAGAGGCGGAGGCAGGAGGATTACAGGTTGAGGGGAAACCAAGACAATTTGGTTGAAATCTCAAAATAAGACATGCCAGGCTAGGCTCGGTGGCACACGACTTTGATCCCTGCACTTAGAAGATACAAGCAGAGGCAGAAGGATCGCTGTGAGTTTGAGGCTAGCCTGGTATATATAGGGAGCTCCAGGCCAGCCAAGACTGCACAGTGAGACTCTGTCTCAAAACAAACAAATAAGCAAACACAAAAACACATTAAAAAGTAGATGGCTCTGTGGTTAAGAACACTTTTTTTGTGTCGCACACCTTTAGTCCCAGCAATGGGGAAGCAGAGGCAGGTAGATCTCTGTGAGTTTGAGGCCAGCATGGTCTACAGAGCAAATTCCAGGATAGCCAGAGCTATATAATAGAGAGACCCTGTCTGAAAAAAACAAACAAACAAACAAAAAACCCACTTTTTGTTCTCACAACGGATCTGGATTCAGTTCCCAGCAGATACATGGTGGCTTACAACCATCCATAACTCCATTTCCAGGGGACCCAATGCCCACTTCTGACATCCAAGGGCACCAGGCACACATGTGGTGCACATACATATATGCAGGCACTCATACATACACATCAAACAAAAATAAATAAATCTTTTCAACAGCAGCAAAACCCAGAAGGTCTGGAGATGATGGCTCAGGGGTCAGAGAACTTGCTGATCTTTTAGAGGGCCTGAGTTAGGTTCCCAGCACTCATGTCGGGCAGCTCACAACCACCTCTAATTCCAGTTCCAGGGGAGTCTGATACCCTCTTATGGCCTCCAGGGGCTGCTGCACATGTGTGGTGCACATAAACTCACAGTCACACATACATACAAATAAAAATCTAAAAACACACAAAAAAACTACAGTACTCAAAACACATACATGCCTTTGGCTCTTCTCATGGGCCAGCTCTGTCCAGACCACAGGTCTGAAAAGTAGGTTTGGCTGACTCTCAACCAGGAGACTTCAGACATTGTGAGTGGCTGGGTCTGAGAACCCTGGCTTCCTGCCAGGACAGGGGAAGCATACTGGGGTGCATGCTGGCCAAGACCTGGGCTAACCAGAGGCAGAGAGGAAATGTCCCAAGTTCTGTCTAACTCAGGGCAGGAATCAAGTTACAACTGCACCATGGAATGGAGTCTACGCTCCATGCTGCACCATGGAGTCTACGCTCCAAGCTGCACCATGGAGTCTACGCTCAGGAGGTCATTATGTTATGTCCCCTGGGGACTTGCAATGCTAACCTTCCTATTCTTTCTCCCTACAGAGTGCCAAGCAACTCATCAAGAGGTTAGTGTCTCTGGGACTGTCACTCAAGTCCCTAGGTCCCCCCAGGGCTTTTGACACTTAGTGGGACCCTGTGCATTAGGGTTGGGGCTCACCCCTAGCTCATGCCCCCTACTTTCTTGGGTCATCCACTCTGCTTGACCCTGGAGAAGAAATGTTCTCTACCCCTGCATCCCCTCTCACTTCAGGGATGGATTGTGGGGCTGGGTCAGGACCCACTTAGAGCTGAGGCTAAGTTGTCCCTTCCCACATGAAGCCCTGAGACCTTACCCTGCCTTTCTGCCCACAGCATTGTGGAGGCTTCCAAGGGCTGCCAGCTTGGGAAGACAGAGCAGGGCTTTGAAAGCATGGACTACTTTACTCTGGATTTAGAACACATAGCAGAAGCCCTGAGGGCCATCGACTTTGGGACAGGTAAAGGACACGGTAACACTACTGGCTTGTATGCATGTTCGACCCTTGAAAGGCAGCATTCCCCTTGGAGCCCGTGGTAGGCAGATCCTCTAAAAACGTCGAATTTACACAGTCAACTCTGACAGGGTCTCTCTATGGAGCCCTGGCTGTCCTAGAATTCTCTAAGTAGACCAGGCTGGCCTGGAACTCAGATCTGCCTGTCTCTGCCTCCGAGCACTGGGGTTAAAGGTTACCCCACTGCACCCAGCCCTGGGCTCATTTATTTGTTGGACTTTTGATGCTCTGAGCACTGAGACCCTGACCTAAAGATGTGAATTCCATCAACTCCAGGATGGAGTTATGCCAACACCTCCGTTTTGTAGTTTAGGAAACTAAGTATAGACAGGGTAACCCCTTGTTCGAGGCCACGCAGCTAATAAGTAGCTGGTGCAAACCCCACCCGGGCCATTTGGCTCACAAGACTCTCTGAGGACACAGGAGACAATGTGAAGACATCGTGGCGCTGGCCCAGAGTGATTCTCTGGGGAAACTATTATGAGCAGTAACTACAGCGAGCCCTCTGGATTCCAGTTTACGCATGCACCCTGGGTGTTCGGCTGCAGTTTTTATTTGCCTTTTTTTCTTTTTTTTTTTTGAGACAGGGTGTCACTATGTAGCTCAGGCTGTCCTTGTGGCTAACCTCCTACCTCAGTTTCCTGAGTGCTGGGATTACAAACTTAAACCGTGGTGCTCTGGTTTGTAAACATCCATTGACAAATGCTGACTCTGTAATTCCCTGGGGCCTGGAAGGGAGTGGCGAGACCCTGTTAGGAAAGTTTGAAGGTCACATCCCAGGATGAGAAAGTGAGGAGCCAGGTTGCGCTTTGGGGGACACTGTCTTGAGCAGAACCTCCCAGGCTACCCCATGACTGCCTCTCTGTGAACTGAGGAATGAGGTAAACAGAATGAGATGCTGAGCAAGCTGGTTTGAAAGGCTGAGCAGATTCTTTAAGCCAAGGACTCTGATCTGGAAGGACAGGGAATGTTTGCCCAGCTTCCTCCTGGTGATGTGTCTGTTCCGCTGAGAGGCACAGAACCCCAAGTGTGCCTCCTGCGTCCCTGAGGCCAGACACATCAGTGATGAAGGATGTGGTATCTTGGGCCAAAAGGACTGATCTGGAGGTGGGGAACAGACACATGAAGGCTGGACTCTGAGCTGGGGTCCTCAAACCCAGTACCTCCTACATCCTTGCTGCTTCTAGGTGCCCAGTTGGGCCCAGAAATGGGGACAGATGTCCCCTCTAGGCCAATCTTCTAATAGTTGCTGTGAAAAGCCAATCCCATCTTAAAACAATTGGTCTTATGTCAGATGAGGACGAGGAGGAGTTTATTGACGATGAGGAAGATCAGGAAGAGGCCGTGTCCACAGAGGGGAAAGAAGGTAAGAACTCCCTTTCTCTGCCTTTGTGCCTTCAGCCTTAGGAGTGCTGCACTACACATTCCCAGGGTGTGCGTGTGTTTATTATTATTACTTTGGTCCCCCCTCTTTTGTACATCTGAGGTATGCATGCATATATGCATGTTTGCACATGTGTGTGTTTAGGGGGTGTCCAGGCAGAGGTCCAAGGCTGATGTCAAGGGTCTTCTTGATCACTCCCCACCAGATTCACTGAGGCAGGGGTCATGGATTTGCTAGTCTAGCTAGCCAAATTGCTCAGGGGTCCCCTTTCCCATCTTCTGAGCTCTGGAATCACAGGCTACCATGGTCATCGGCATTTCTTTGGGTAGGTGCTGGGACCTGAACTCTGGCCCTCATGTTCATGTAGGGACCACCCACCAAGCCAGTTCCCAGCTGCTGTTGCTTCCTCCTCCTGTGTGTGTGTGTGTGTGTGTGTGTGTGTGTGTGTGTGTGTGTGTGTGTGTGTGTGTGTGTGTATGTGTTAATGGCTGGCCTCTTTGAGCTGGGATTAAAGGCATGCTCCCCTACACCTAGTTAGTGTTCAAGCCCAGTTACTAGAGCCAAATTCCAATCCAGCTAAAGTGGCTAGCTCCGGGGCAGTGGTTCTCAGCCTGTGGGTCATGATCCCTGGGGGGGGCGGTGTCAAAGGACACTTTCACAGGGTTGGCCTAAAACCATCAGAAAACACAGATTATTTACATTACAATTCATAACAGTAGCAAACATAACAGTTATGAAGTAGCAACAAAAATAATTTAATGACTGGAGGTCACCACAACATGAGGAGGTGTATTAAAGGGTCACAGCATTAGGAAGGTTCAGAATCACTCCTCTAAGCCATGACTTCTGACAGCTAAATTCCAGTTTGGTTTTAGAGAGCCCAGATGGGAGGTGGTATGTTGTGACTTGTCACCACAGCTCTGGAGGTCCTGGGTCCTCTTGAGTCTGTATCTCACCATGAGCCTGTGTCTGATTTTTCTCTTCCAGGACACCAGTGAGGAGCTGGATGAGTAGACACCCTCTGAAAGCAAAGACTGGGGGGGGCGGGTGACAGGCCCGTCTGGGGAAGGGGTTGGGGCTCCTTGGGGGGGCGGGCACAATGAGGAAGTATGTCTTCTCTGCTCAGAGAGCAGGGGCTAGAGTAGGACCCCCCACCGCTGTGTCCAGCAGCTGCTGAAACACGATTGGAAAGGTATTCAAAACGTCACAGGACACTTTTCTACGTTGGTGCAAAATGAAATATTTTGTATGTTTTTAAAATGTGATTTTTGTATATACTTGTATATGTACGCCAATTTGGTGCTTTTTGTATGAGAACTTTTGTATGATCACAAAGAGGGAAGGAAGTCAAGATAATAGAGCTGCCCACTTTCCTTTCCTAGGTGGGAGGGCTGGGTCTCACTCAAAGGCCTAGAAAGGGCAATGTACTGTACTTCAGTGCCCATCCCCAAACAAGGGGAGAGGACTGAGTTTGTGTTATATGTTGTTTTAATAAATGCACAATGGGCTGGGCATGGGGGCGAATGCCCTTTCATCCCAGTACTCTAGAGGTAGAGCTATGAGTTCAAGGCCAGCCTGGTCTACATGGAGAGTTCCAGAGCAGCCAGGACTACATAGAGAGACTCTATCTCAAAAATAATAATGAAAAAGAATAAAAAATAAATGCACAGCGCTTTTTTCATGTAAGTAAAAAAGAGATGTGATTTCATTCAGTTTGAGTGTGTGTGTGTGTGTGTGTGTGTGTGTGTGTGTGTGTGTGTGTGTGTGTGGCTAGCAGTGGAACCAAGGACCATGAAAATACTAGATGGAAACTCTACCCTGATCTACAGGAGGCCCCAGCCCCCCTTTAGCCTGTTTTTGTTTGTTTTGTTTCGTTTCTAGGAGACAAGAATTCAGCGTCAGCCAGCCTTTAATCTCTTTAGTACACCTTGTCTAATCTCAGAGAGCAGTGTAGAGTCAGCTCAACTACAGGCAAGCGCAACACAGGCTGACACAAATACGGAACACAGGATGACACAAATACGGGAAGCAGTCTACCCAAAGAAAGCTGACATGGTGGCGCACGCCATTAATCCCAGCACTCCGGAGGCAGAGGCAGGCAGATCTCTGAGTTCAAGGATAACCAGGCCTATGTAGACAGACCCCGTGTCAAAATAAAATTAAAGTCAAAAAGCTGAGAGTTGGCGAAGGTGAAGCTTGGTGGCACACACCTATAATCCCATTTGGGAGGTAGAGGCAGGAAGATTTGATGTTCAAGGTCATCCTCAGCTATGCAGCAAGTCTGAGGCTAGCCTGAGACCCCGTCTCATATAACACTGATGAAGCTGGATGATGGGGTGCACGTCTGTAATCTCAGTATTCGGGAGGCTCAGCAGGAAGACTGCCAGAGTTCGAGACCACACTCGGCTACAAGTCAAGGGTCAGGCCTGACAGGGATACATGGATACATGGCAAGATTTGATGTTGACAGAAATAAGCCCAGAGACTACAGTTCGATTGATGGAATGTCTGTCTTTCATGAACTCTTGGGTTCAATCCCCAGCACAAACCAGTGTGGTGACACAAGCCTATAATGCCAGCACTTCTGGTGTCGAGGCAGGGGAATCAAGGCCAGTCTGAACTACAGAACTGTTTGTTGTTGTTTTTTTCTTTCCCTCTTTTCTTCTTATTTATCTGTCTTAGGATTTCTATTGCTTTGAAGAGACACAATTTTTTGTTTGTTTTTTTTCGAGACAGAGTTTCTCTGTGTATCTCTGGCTGTCCTGGAATTCTCTTTGTAGACCAGGCTGGCCTCGAACTCACAGAGATCCACCTGCCTTTGCCTCCTGAATGCTGGGATTAAAGGCGTGCGCCAGCACTATCCAGCAAGACACCACAACTCTTATAAAGGAAAACATTTAATTGGGTGGCTTACCTTTTCAGAGGTTCAGTCCATTATCAACATGGTGTGATGTGCAGGCAGACATGGAGCTGAGAGTCCTATATCTTAACACAAAGGCAACAGGAAGTGGTCTATCTCACTGGGTATGGCTTGAGCATATATGAGACCTCAGAGCCCACCTCCACAGTGACATACTTTCTCCAACAAGCCCACACCTAATCCAATAAGGTCACACCTTCTAAGAGTGCCACTCTCTTTGGGGGCCATTCTCTTTCAAACCACCACACTACCTATTTATTTATTTGAGACAGGGTCTTTCTACAGACAGGATCCTGCAGGTAGGAGCTGATGCAGAGGCCATGAAGACTGTTTACTGGCTTGCTCAGCCTGCTTTCTTTCTTTCTTTCTTCTTCTTCTTCTTCTTCTTCTTCTTTTTTTTTTTTTTTTTTTTGGTTTTTCGAGACAGGGTTTCTCTGTGTAGCTTTGTGCCTTTCCTGGAACTCGCTTTGTAGACCAGGCTGGCCTTGAACTCACAAAGATCCTCCTGGCTCTGCCTCCTGAGTGCTGGGATTAAAGGCGTGTGCCACCAATGCCCAGCTCAGCCTGCTTTCTTATAGAACCTAGGACCACCAGCCCAGGGATGGCTCCACCAACATTGGGCTGGCCCTTCCCCACTGATCATTAATTGAGAAAATGCCTTACAGCTGTTTTGTGTTGTTTTGTTTTGTGGTTTTTTTGTTTGTTTTGAGAAAGAGTTTCTCTGTGTAGCCTTGGCTGTCCTAGAACTCACTTTGTAGACTAGGCTGGCTTTGAACTCACAGATCCACCTGCCTCTGCCTCGAGTGCTGGGATTAAAGGGCATTAGCCATCATTGCCCAGCTTTGCAGCTGGATCTTATGGAGGCATTTCCTCAACTGAGGCTCTTTCCTGATGACTCTAGCTTGTGTCAAGTTAACACATAAAACCAGCCAGTACGGCTGGGCGGTGGTGGCGCACACCTTTAATCCCAGCACTCAGGAGGCAGAGCCAGGTGGATCTCTGTGAGTTCAAGGCCAGCCTGGTCTACAGATCGAGATCCAGAACAGGCACCAAAACTACAGAGAAACCCTGTCTCAAAAACAACAACAACAACAAAAAAAAACCAGCCAGTACACCTTGAAAACTTTCTGTGCCAATGCCAGCCCAGCTCTTCACTCTGCATGGGTCATTAACCTGTCATTTTTAATGTCACACACCTGTTCGGTTTGTTTTTTTTTTTTTAAGTATTTTTTGTGCGGGAGAAGACACCACAGTTCCACCTAATTAAGAAAGACAATTTGGGTCCAGGAAGACGACTCGGAAGCACTGGCTGCTATTGCAGGGGACCTGGCTTTGGTTCACAGCACCCACATGGTGGCTCACACTGTCTACAACTCCAGGGGAGGCAAAGCTCTCTTCTGACTCCAAGGCCACAAGGGCACATATATACACGCTGGCAGAACACACGTACACACAGAATAAAAATAAGCAAATCTTTAATAAAGAACAGAAAGATACTTTTACAACCGAGGCCTTTTGTTTTCTCCTCTCACACTGTGAATCAATCCACAGGGAACGGGCTCCTCTCTGCTGGCTCTCACAATGCCTGCTTCTCCGGGTAGAGCGGCCTGGTGCTTCAGCGGGACTCGGGTACCGTTCTCTTTGGTTTATGTCTTTCTTCCTGTTTTAGGAAGTCATATCAGACCATGCTCAGCATACACATTAATTCTCTCAGAATCTGGCCCCCAACTTGCTTGTTTACAGTGCCAATAGCACTTGCGGACTGTGTAGACAATAGCACCAATGCCATGGTGACATGTAGGGGGCGTTCCTCTTTGACCCATATTTGTTTCTTTGATGTCTGCAGTGTGACTCTTCATGTAAAATCATGTACATGTGACCAAAGGAATAACGTCTGTCATTTAAGAAGCTTAGTGAGCCACTGTTAGGTGCCTCCCCTCTCTCCCACTGGGAGAGATTTTGTCTGAGAAAAAATAAAAAGGACATGACTGCTTCTAGGTATGGTGGAGGAGAAAGTTTATTGTAGATAAAAGGGAGAGTGTAGTTAGTGGCAGGGACATCTGGGAGTGTCCACAGTGGACATGACCAGACTGAGCTGGGCCATGTAGGAGAGGGGGAGGGGAAGGGAGAGGGGAGAGAGGAGAACCAGGTGCAGCAGCCAGGAGGCCAATGGTCCAGAAAGCGTGGGTACCCAACATGGCTGGATTATATAGGGAAGAGCCTCAGGGGGAAGGGCGGCCAAGCCCCTGGGCTGCAGAGTGCCAACCATACCCTGTAACAGGTAGGGACTGGGGGGTGCTGGGAGAACCTGGCAGCTAGATCTGCTTTGATATGTAAAACGGTCACCTCAGTCACTTGTCCTGGGTTTGAAACTGAACATTGTCAAATTACTGGAAGACGGCAGCTCCGGCTGAAAGCTGTTAGCTTTCTTATAGTCTTTTTTATATTTTATTTACATTTATTTATTAAGTGGGGGCGAGGGGGCCCCGGGGCCCCCGCCACAGCACACCTGTGGAGGTCAGAGGAAAACTGACAAGGAATCCACTATCTCCTGTCACCACGTGCATGCCAGGGATGCAGCTCAGGTCATCAGGCTTGGTGAGGACCAGCTTATCTGTGGAGCCCGCTTTACAGCCTTAGTCTCAAGTATTCTCCCCCAGAAGACTTTGAGAGACAGGTGGGACATGGTGACCTTTGATCCCAGCACTGAAGACACTGAGGCAGGGGGACTGAGAGTTCAAGCCAGCCTGGGATACACAGGGAGACTGTGTCTCAGAAGTGGATAATTAAACAACAAAGACAGACGCTCCCACCTCCTCGAAATCACATCCTAACTGGTACGCATCTGGTTCCACAGCACCTCTCCATGTTCCTGACTAGAGAAGCAGGCATTACAGTCCCTAATCTTGCCAATCTGACGAAGCAACCAGTTTTATTGGGGTTACTTCCAGGAATGTGGGTGAAAGGTCACTTCCAGGTGCAGAAGTGATTGACAGCTGCGTCACTAAAATCCTACCTCAGCTGGGCGACAGACCAAAAGAGTTGGAAGCCCGGAACATACAGCACAGCATGCGGCCAGCTCAGCGGTTGGAGAGGGTCCTTTCCAGGCAGTTGAGTGGGATGAACTTCTTACTGGCAGCTCAGCTGGTCTCCTTTAGACAGATCACTCACCCAAGAGCATCTCTCTGAGGGCCCTCACTACTTAGATATGCTTGTGGGAGGGACCTAGAGAATCTGGTCAGTTTCAGGGACTTCCTGAAGCTACTGAGTTGTTTACTTCCTGCGATTAAGGAAGTAAACTTAGCTTTCCAGTAGAACATTTTGTTGTTTCACATCTCTATAAACATCCTGTTTTAAAATACCCTGTTTGTCTCCCTTTTAACATCCTTTATCTGAGGGAGCTTCCCTTCAAGACACATGGCTTTAATCTAGAAGGAAACTGCTACACAGCACACACTCGGCTCTCTTTTGTTTTCTTTTAGCAGGGGCTGGCCTTGAATCCACTATGTAGTTGATAATCATGATCTCCTAATCCTCTTGCCCTCACCTGCCAAGTGCTGCCAGTTTGTGAAGTTTTATTTTATCTATTGTTTATTTTTTTGAGGCAGTGTCTCTGTGTTGACCAGGCTGGCCTTTGACTCACAGGGATCCACCTGCCTTTGTCTTTCCGAGTGCTGGCTGGCTTATTTTATTTCATGCTGCATGTATGTAAGTGTAGTGAATGTGTGTTAGGTACCAGTGATGCCAGAAGAGAGTGCTGGATCCCCTGGAACAGCTGTTACAGACGGACGGGAGAGGTTTATATTCCCCTGTGGATGCTGGGAACTGAAGTTCTCTTTTTTCCCCACCTAGATAGAGTTTCTCTGTGTAACTCTGGCTGTCCTGGAATTCACTCTGTAGATCAGGCTGGCCTCTAACTCAGAGATCCACCCGCCTCTGCCTCCTGAGTGCTGAGATTAAAGACATGGGAGAGCAGTGAGTTCTTTTAACCACTGACCCATCTCTCCAGCTGCCTTGTTGAAGTTTTAAATGAAATTTTTGATTAGGTGAGTGTGTGTGTGTGTGTGTGTGTGTGTGTGTGTGTGACACTCGTGCACATGCACACATTTTGGAATTGAACCCAGGGCCCTAAAGAATGTTAGCCAAGCACTCTATCACTGAGCTACATCCTCAGCACAAACTCTTGCAAATCAATTAAAATCCTTTCTGAGGATACAGGGAAAGGCCGAACTTCAAATGCAATTCTCCCGATAAACTCTCAAGGCTGTGCTTCGGACACCAGATGCACACACCAGGAAAGAAATTAATTTTGCGGTGGACCACAGCAGGTTGTCCACAAATTCAATTCAATCCGTCTTCAGTGCTTGGTCTCCGAGACAATCCCCTTCTCTTTTGATGCCGAGCACAAGCCCCAGGTTTTACCTTCTCACAGCTTCTCTCCTTGGGTACCATCAAGTTGCTAAGAATCCTGGGAAATGCTAACTTAACATTTATTAATTCATCACAAAGTATGTAGCTAAGGGACAGAGGGCAGGGCTTATGGGAAGGGGTGGAGACACTCTATGCCCCCTCCAGGCACACCACTTCCAGAGGCCTTCCTGTGTTTGGCTTTCGGGACCTTCGGGAAACTTTTGTGGCTTTTTTTTTTTTTTAATTGGAGATGTCCTCGTGTAAACACAATTAAATCATAACCCTGAGGATTTTATTGAATGAAAAGAGTGAGAACTGATGTTAACAGCTGGGTGGGGACATCCAGCAGAGCCTGTCTATGCACTTTCCTCATCCCAGATACCAGGCAGGGCCCCTCTGATTGGTCAGGCCAGAGAACTCTAGATAGAAGGTGGGAAAGATCAGAATTTCTGTGGCTTCAGGTGGGAGGGTGAGGCAGAAGAATCCCTAGTTCAGGGTCACACTCAGCACACTCAAGTTCGGCCTGGGCTACCTTGATCTAGCCTTAAAAACAAAACTGTCTATGATCTGTCCTAAGACAGAGATTCTAGTTTCTGTTGCCTTCCTTGGGAAGGAATTAGTTGAGAGGGCTGGGAGGCACTAGCCTGCAATCCCAGCATTCAGGATGCTGAAGCTGGAGATCACAAGTTCCAAGCCAGCCTGGGTTACATAGGGAGACTGTCTCAAGCCAAACAAAACAAACCAGATTTTATATATATATATATAAATTATAAAAACACAAGCACCATCCGAAATATAGATTTAAAAGAAATCTTGCCAGGTGGTGGTGGTGGTGGTGGTGGCACGCCTTTAATCCCAGCACTCAAGAGGCAGAGCCAGGCAGATCTTTGTGAGTTCGAGGCCAGCCTGGACTACAGAGTGGGATCCAGGAAAGGCGCAAAGCTACACAGAGAAACCCTGTCTCGAAAAACCAAACCAAACCAAACCAAAACAAAACAAAATCTTCTGAGTTGGGTGTGGTAATATACACCGTTAACCCCAGTACTCGGGAGGCAGAGGTAGGCAGATCTCTGTGAGTTCGAGGCCAGCCTGGTCTACAGAGTGAGTTCCAGGACAGCCAGGGCTGTTACACAGGAAAACCCTGTCTCAAAAAAACAAAAACAAAACATTGAGAATGTATGATATGTTTTGCATTGAGGAGAAAAAGAGTGATCTAACACACTGTCATATCTTTTCCATCTTAAGATATGACAGGAATCTGTGATTACTGTAGAAATTCCATCAAACAGCACTCACCACCTCTCACCTAATTCATGTTTAAAGGACCAGAGCTTGAACTAAGGGTTTTGTACACAGTAGGAGAGTCCTCTACCACTCAGCTCACACCTCAGTTCTTTTTTACTTTGCGACTCGGTTCCAGTAAATTGCCCAGGCTAGCCTCAAATTCAAGATCCTTCTGCCCAAGGCTCCTTAATTCCTGGGATGATAGGCATGGGCCACCATGTCACGTTCTCCTACTTGTCCCAATCTAATTTCACATGTGTTTAAGCGCCCACCCACCTAGGTGCTGAGCACTAAACTGGGCAGACCACTGGGGGGCCCTGCTTCCCAGTCAGCTGACCTACAGGCCTCTGCACTATGCATAGAAGTAATAGTTCTTCTGTTACCCAATCCTCTGAGAGGATTTGGTGTGTGTTTATTGTTATTTTATTTTTTTGAGACAGGGCCTACAAGTCTGAAGTACCCCGGGCTAGCCTCAAGCTAGCTATATAGTCAAAGATAACCTTGAACTTCTGATCTTTTAGCCCTTCACCTCTGCAGAGGTGGGATTACAAGCATGTGTGGTGCTGTGGATGGAACTCAAGGTTTCCTGCGTGCTAGGCCATCACCTACCAGCTGAGCTACAGCCCTAGCCCTGTCCTGTCCTGTCCTGCCCCCATCGCCTTGAGGCAAAGCCTCTCAGTCTAGCCTGGGCTACATACATAGCCATAGTGACACCTCTCCTTCCTTTTCTTCCCCCCTGGGCACTGGGGGAAGGCTTTGTGCATGAACAGTCTATCAACGAGCTGCACCCCCAGATACACCTTCCAAGCTGTGACCCTGAGGACCCGAGCAGATGGAGTGACTGAGTAAGGAGGTCACCAACGGGAAGGAGATAACTATCAGAGGCCAGTACTGGGGGCCACAGGCCCCAAACCCCAGAAAAATGTGGACTATGGTCTAAACAGGAGACTGTTCAGAATGTATGGAGCATCGCTCTGGCAACCAGGTCTTCTCCTAAGATGGCCCTTCCGGCACCATCTCCCAGGAATTTGTTGGGCTTCTGGGGTGTAAAGAAAGGCCAGCTACAAGTGGCTGTTCTCCCCCAGATAGCTTCGGTTAATGAGACACTGGTTTTGTGTGTGTGTGTGTGTGTGTGTGTAGGTGGAGATAGAGCCAGCCACTCCAGATCCTAATCAGTACTCAAGGCAGGAGGAACTGGTGCCTGGTGCCTTTGCAAGGAAGCTTGGGTCTGTAACTCCAACACTACTCCGGTGGGGACTGCGCCCCACCCCCCACCCCGCAGAAGGAGGCAGACCAGCTGGCAGCCAGAGGTCCAGAGCACCCCAGCCCACCGCGGGAGGGGGGGGAGCACTCCCTAGAAAAGAAAAAGATCCCAGTCCCCCGCGGGAGGGTCTCTTTCTAGAAAAGAAAATAGATCAAGCTTCGGGGAAGTATGTCTTCCTAGCTGGAAGCTCGACCCTAGCCTCAGGAGTCCCCACGTTTTTTGCCAGTAGTCACATCCCTGCCCTAAGGCAACCTTTTTCTGTCTCTGTCTGTCTCTGTCTCTCTCTCTCTCCTCTCTCTCTCCTCTCTCTCTCTCTCTCTCTCTCTCCCTCCCTCCCCTTCTTCCCTCCCTCCCTCCCTCTCTCCTTCCCCTCCCTCCCTCCCCTTCCTCCCTCCCTCCCTCCCTCTTTCCTTCCCCTCCCTCCCTCCCCTTCCTCCCTCCCTCCCTCCCTCCATCTCTCTCTCTGTCGTGTTTATTGAAACAGGTTTTCTCTGTGTAACAAAACCTTAGCTGTCCTGGAACTCACGCTGTAGAACAGGCTGCCTCAAACTCACAGAGATCCGCCTGCCTCTGGCTCCTTGGCTGAGTACTAGAATTAAAGGCGTGAGCCACCATGCCTTGCCGATTTTCTAGGAACCCAGATCCCAAGATTTATCTATGGGATGCCATTAAGAGTGGGTGTTTTGGTCACCCAGTCCTAACTTAGCAACTCTGGGCAACTCTTAGCAAGTGCTTTGCTCCGGGCAAGGGCCCTTAAGCTTTCGGTCGCTGGCCGATCAGCTCCTTCAGGCTCGGGGACGCAGGAGATCAGTGCGGGGGGCAGAGCCGCGATTCCCTTTGCAGCCGGTCACCCTTCCCCCTCCCCGCGGGCTTTTGCACACGACGCGCCGCGGGCGGCTTCACACGGAGTGGCGAGGGCCGGGGATAAAGCGGGCGGGCGCGGGGCGCAGCGGCGGGACCCGAGCGGAAGGTGAGTGCGCTCTGCCGTCGCCCGGCGCGCAACTTCGAGGGCGCACTGGGAGAGGCGGCATGCCGACCATGGACAAACAGAACCTCCTGGAGAGCACCAGCAGAACCTGGTAAGTTCAAGCCCCAAGGGGCGGGAATCCCGGCGGCATCACAGGCACCTCCTCTTTGGCCCTCCTGGCTGTCGTTGGTCCGGGCGGGGGCTTGAACCTGGGATCCCGCCAGAGGGATGGGGTGAGGCAAGGGAAAGAGGAAACTGGCGGTGGCCTCGTAGCCCCGGGGATCACCTGGCCAAGCACACAGATCCTGAACGCTGCTTGCGGGTGCGCCCGAGTGGGACACAGTCGGGTGCCGGGAACCCCGCCTTCGCTCCAGCACTTTGATCCCAGGCAGCCCTGAGGTGGGGAGGCCCTGTGCCCTCGGGTGCGCTGCGCTACGGTCCACGCTGCTCTCTCCAGCCAGAACTCTGCTCTTTCTTTGCGCTCTACTGGACAGCCTGCCCTTTGGCTAGACTCTCCTGTAGGCCTGGGAAGGGGTGGAGGAGGAGGGAACGGCTTAGAACAAGGTTCCAAGACTCGTTTCCCCAGCATCCCCCTGTAACACTGGCTTCTTACCTCTGATCCCACGCCAGGCACTGTTCTTTTTTGTTTGTTTGTTTTGTTTTGTTTTTTCGAGACAGGGCTACTCTGTGTAGTTTTGGTGCCTGTCCTGGCTCTCGCTATGTAGACCAGGCTGGCCTCGAACTCACAGAGATCCGCCTGGCTCTGCCTCCTGCGTGCTGAGATTAAAGGCGTATGTCACCACTGCCCGACCAGGCAGTTTTTACTTGCTCTGGAAACACCGGGCCAGCAACACTCCCCGAAACTGGCTCAACCTCCCGGCTGAGCGTTTTCTCTCCTTCTTCTCACCTCCAGGTCATACTTAGGGTCTCTGTGGAAGAGTGAGACTGGTCCGACCCCTCCTGTGGACCTGCCCACTGTTGAGCTGGCTATCCAGAGCAACCATTGTTGCCACGCCCAGAGGGATTCTGGTAGCCACTCTGACCCCAAGAAGCAGAAGGCCCGGCGCAAGCTCTATGTGGCCTCTGCCATCTGCCTGGTGTTCATGATTGGAGAAATCATTGGTAAAGCCCATCTATGTAAATTAAGAAAAGCTGGTTGAGGGATAGGCTGAATGCTCCCATTAGTGCTAATGGCACTGATGGCTATCCCTGTTTTATTAATCAGTTTGTTTGTTTGTTTTAAGATAAGGTCTCACTAAGTAGCCTTAGCTGGCCTGGAACTCATATTCACTTTGCCTCTGCTTCCAGTGTGTTGAGATTAAAGATGTGTGACACCACATCCATCAATTTATTTATTTATTTATTCGTTCATTTATTCATTCATTCATTTATTGTTTTTCGAGTCAGGGTTTTCTCTGTAGCTTTGGAGCCTGTCCTGGACTAGCTCTGTAGACCAGGCTAGCCTTGAACTCACAGAGATTCGCCTGCCTCTGCCTCCCAAGTGCTGGGATTAAAGGCGTGCGCCACTGCCACCCGGTGCTATTTATGCTATTTATTTGTTTATTTATTGGCTTTTCAAGATTGGGTTTCTCTGTGTAACTCTGGCTGTTATAACTCCCGCTGTAGACCAGGCTGGTCTAGAACTCAGAGATCTGTCTGCCTCTGCTTCTCAAGTGCTGGTATTAAAGGCATGTGCCACCACCACCAGGCTAATTTTTTTTCTTTAAGGCAATCACTTGGTTAGAGCCATGGCTCTGCAGCTAAGAGGCTGTTCTTCCAGAGGACCTGGGCTTGATTCCCGGCACCTACATGGTGGCTCACAGTGATCTATTACTCTAGTCCCAGGGAATCAGACGCCCTCTTGTGGCTTCTGTGCATTTGGTGCACATACATACATGTAGGCGAAACACATGCACTTAATTAATAATAAAAATAAGAGGAGCACTTACTGAGTCCCTACTTAGTCTCCTGTCTCTAATATGAACGTGATGATCTTCCTCCCCCTCCTCCTCCTCCTCCTTTTTCTTTTTTCAAGACAGGTTTCTCTGTGTATCCCTGACTGTCCTGGAACTCACTCTATAGACCAGGCTGGCCTCAGACTCAGAGATCTGCCTGTCTCTGCCTCCCGAGTGCTGGGATTAAAGGTGTGCACCACCACTGCCTGAATTTGATTTTCACACTCACCCTGTAAGAAGATGTTACCTCCTTGGGGGGAAATTGAGGCTCAGAGTGGAGGTCACATGGTCATGTTGAACAACTGATAGGTGCAGAGACGACCCAGGTGTCTTCCAGGGCTGAGGTCTCCCCGCTGCACAGAACGGGGGAGCTAACTCTTTGGGAGAACTTCACCCCCGGCTCTCACTTCTGCAGGCGGGTACCTGGCACACAGCCTGGCCATCATGACCGACGCAGCCCATTTGCTCACCGATTTTGCCAGCATGCTCATTAGCCTCTTCTCCCTGTGGGTGTCTTCCCGACCGGCTACCAAGACCATGAACTTCGGCTGGCAACGAGCTGGTAAGGATCCTTGTGGGCCACAGATGGGGTCGATCGGGTCAGAATAGGGCTTGTTTTTTTTTTTTTTTGGTTTTTTGAGACGGTTTCTCTGTAGCTTTGGAGCCTTTCCTAGATCTCGTGCTGTAGACCAGGCTGGCCTCGAACTCACAGAGATCCACCTGCCTCTGCCTCCCAAGTGCTGGGATTACAGGTGTGCGCCACCACCGCCCGGCAGAACAGCGTTTTTGTTTGGAATTGAAAATGTTTGGAGAAAGCATTTCTAGTAGTCCAAGCTGGCTTTGAATTTACTAAGTAACCAAGACTGCCCTTAAAATTCCTGATCCTCATGTCTCTACCTCCCAAGACCTGGAATTCCAGGGATGTGCCACACCCAACCAATTTTTGTTGTTGTTGTTTGTTTTTTTCCTGGAGCTAAGGACCGAACCCAGGGTCTTGCACTTGCTAGGCAAGCGCTCTACCACTGAGCTAAATCCCCAACCCCTAAAATCTTTTTTTTTTCTTTTTGGTTTTTCGAGACAGAGTTTCTCTGTGTAGCTTTGCGCCTTTCCTGGAACTCACTTGGTAGCCCAGGCTGGCCTCGAACTCACAGAGATCTCCCTGGCTCTGTCTCCCGAGTGCTGGGATTAAAGGCGTGCGCCACCACCGCTCAGCTTTGTTTGTTTTTTTTTTTTAAACGGTTTTGATAGGTGGTCCAGGCTGGCCTCTAACTCCCTGTATAGCCCAGGCTGGCTTCAAACTCAGTGACTGTACTGTCACAGCCTCCCAAGGACTGGAATTAAGGCCCATGCTATCCCAGGAATGCCAGGAGTTAGGCCAAAAAAGCAGCCTTTATGGGGAAGGGGGTGTCTGCCTTGGCCTCTGTCCTCTGGGAACTCCCAATCTGATGGGACAGACATGGTGCCAGTTATCTGGGAGCTATTAGTTAATGGAGAAACAAAGTTCACCTCGCTTAGAAAATAGTGGCTGGGAACAAATGACAATAGCATTGTCCTTGCCTGTCACTGTGGGTCCGCTGTGGGATAGGGAAAGGTCAGTCAACACTGCCTTAGGCTGGCAGTTCCCTTCTGGGTGCCACTGTCGCTTTCCTCAGGGAGAGATGGCCCAATGTCCTCAGCCCCCATTTATCAGCTGAGTAAAACAAGGAGCTTGAGATGGCTCAGGAGCCGGCGCCTGCTACCATGGGCTGTAACCGTCACTCCAGCTCTGGGGACTCCGGGCCCTCTTCTGTTACCTTAATTAAAGTAGGTAGTGGTGACCTTACCTTTATTTGGGTGGGAAAATTAGGCACACGCCCTTAATCCCAGCACAAGGGAGGCAGAGGCAGGTGTATCTCTTGAATTCAAGGCTAGCCTGATCTACATAGTGCAACCACAAAAATCATGTAAGTATCAAACTCAGGCAGCCCCCTTGCCTTAGCGGCCCACATGCTAGGAGTAGAGATGTGCACCATCATGCTGGCTAGAACGTATATATTATGTCAGTTTCTTCCCACACACAGCAAACAAGGCTGAGCTAGGTGATTCTTTCTGGATACGAGTTCTCATATGTGAGTTGGCGGGATGAGGCACGTCTTCAGGAAAAAATACCACAGACACCCAGGCCCTGGCTTTACAGCGGGGAAGCGCTACATGGAGGGAGTAGGCCTTCCCACCCTCAGGGCCCAGGCTAAGGTTGGTCTCGTGGTTGGGCTCTTATCTAGAGATCCTTGGAGCCTTGGTGTCTGTTCTGTCCATCTGGGTGGTGACTGGGGTGCTGGTGTACCTGGCTGTGCAGCGCTTGATTTCTGGAGATTATGAGATCAAAGGGGCCACCATGTTGATCACGTCAGGCTGCGCTGTGGCTGTGAACATCATGTGAGTATGGCCCCAGGTCCCTATAATTTTTTATATATATATATATAGACTCCGAATCTCCCCATACGCAAACCTCTGTCAGCTCCCCTGCCAGCACAGAATTTCCCTCATGACCTGAGCGCTGGCACCTGGTATACACGGTCCTCCTTTAAATGTTAGGCCAAGGTCATGGGAGGTTATAGATATGCACCCCCACATCACCACCCCCCCACCACTCCCACCCCCACCCCCCGGAACACACACACACATATATTAGGTGTCAGAGAATAAACTTCAAGGCTACCCAAAGCAAAGGGGATGCATCTGGCTCATGCTGGAACAAAGGCCAAGTCAGGCTGACGTGGCTAAAACTGGTCTCAGTAAAGGAGAGAGGGTAGAACATGGGTTTGGGCCCTCCGCCTCCATTGCTCACTTGTCTCAGGCTCCCTACCTGTAACATGATGAGATGAACCACACGACTTCCTCACTGCCCCGTGCTCTGAAATTCAGCTTTGGGGTACTGTGCCCAGTCAGCCGCCCACTGTGGGCAGAGCTCTTTGCCCTGTGGCTATGAGCTAAGGCTGTAGAGCTAGGTTCCTAAGCCTAAGAGGGTCACTGAGTTCTGGGGGCTTCACCTTTTCACCCTCAGGGAGGCCAGGCCTAATGGGTGGACTTTGCCTGGCAGACTTGAAACCTTGGTTACCTTACCGAGCTTTGTCTGCTTCCATAGAATGGGCCTGGCTCTTCACCAGTCTGGACATGGGCACAGCCATGGACGTGGGCACAGCCATGGCAACCAAAGCCATGAAGACAGTCAACGGCAGGAGGAGAACCCCAGTGTCCGAGCAGCCTTTATCCATGTGATTGGGGACCTTCTGCAGAGTCTGGGTGTCTTGGTGGCTGCCTACATTATATACTTCAAGGTCAGAGCTGGGTCCAGGGAGGGAGGTGGGCAATACCTGGGGCTCCTCTGCACAGGGCTTTCCCCCATGCTAGGCCCCCTCCAGCTTGGGGTGAGAGGGTGGAGAAAAGGAAGGAATATGTGAGCTGGGAAGCTGGATTTAAGCCCATGGCTATGTTGCCGAAGCCCGGGCATTGCCTATCACACAGAGACGTGAGATGTAAAATGAGCCGCGTGCGGCCAAGGCTGTGTGATGAGTGAATTGCTTGGTCTCATCGAAGCTCAGTTTCCTATCTATTAAGTGGGAATGGTGGGGAGGCTGGAGAGATGGCTCAGAGGTTAAGAGCACTGGCTGTTCTTCCAGAGGTCCTGAGTTCAATTCCCAGAAACCACACGGTGGCTCAGAACCATCTGTAATGAGATCTGGTGCCCTCTTCAGGCACACGGGCAGAACACTGTATATGTAATAAATAAGTCTTGCCGGGCTGTGGTGGCGCACGCCTTTAATCCCAGCACTCGGGAGGCAGAGGCAGGCGGATCTCTCTGAGTTCAAGGCCAGCCTGGACTACCAAGTGAGTTCCAGGAAAGGCACAAAGCTACACGGAGAAACCCTGTCTCGAATAAACCAAAATAAATAAATAAATAAATAAGTCTTAAACAAAAAATGGGAACAGTGAGCCAAATGCTGACATCCCTTTTTAGCTCCGCCTGTGTCTTAGCTCTTTAGGAAGAGCTGTGTCCTGAGGTGGTCTAGATGGAGATTAGAGCAGGAAACTGAGGGACAAGGCCAGAGTGAGTTCCGCGTTCACCCTGAAAAGAGACCCTCCCTGTTACTGTGCCGGGCGGAGGGAAACAGGGAGATGCTGCTGAGCCCATATCTGTCTCCTTTTCCTGTAGCCTGAGTACAAGTACGTGGACCCCATCTGCACCTTCCTGTTCTCCATCCTGGTCTTGGGGACAACGTTAACCATCCTGAGAGATGTCCTCTTGGTGCTCATGGAAGGTAACTGGGTCATAGAGCTTTGGGGGCTTGGGGGTAGGGTGTATGCAGATGTCTGTGCTCATCTGTTAAGTTGTGTGTAGAAACCAGAGGTTGCCCGTGGGGTGTCACCCTCACCCTAATTTTTGTTGTTGTTTTGTTTGGAGATAAGGTCTCACTATGTAGCCCTGGCTGTCCTGGAACTTACTATGTAGACCAGGCAGGCCTCAAACTCGCAGAGATCCACCTGCCTCTGCCTCCCAAGTGCTGGGATTAAAGGTGTGTGTCCCTCTGCCTAGCTCTTACCTTAGTTTTTAAGACAGGGTCTCACTGAGTAGACTAAGCTAGCCTTGAACCCACAGAGATTCATCTGCCTCTGCTTCTGAAGTGCACTACCTTTCCAGGCTCACCTGATTTTTTGTTTGTTTTTTAGACTTATTTATTATGCATAAATAAATGTATGCCTACATGACAAAAGAGGGCACCAGATCTCATTACAGATGGTTGTGAGCCACCATGTGGGTGCTGGGAATTGAACTCAGCACCTCTGGAAGAACATCCAGTGCTCTTATCACAGAGCCATCTCTCTAGCGTTACCAGACCGGTTTTTTCTGTGTTTCCCTGGCTATCCTGAAACTCGCTCTGTAGACCAGGCTGGACTTTGCTGGGATTAAAGGCATGCATGTGCTACTACCACCCGGCTAGCCCTTATTTTAATAACTTACTAAGGTCTCTCACTGGACCTAGAGCTGCCTAGTTTCTCAAAGCTGGCTGGCCAGCAAACCACCTGGGTCTATGTGTCCTCTACCTTCCCCCGACCCCACACCAGCTCTAGGGTTACTGGCGAGGACAGCCACACCTGTCTGTTTTTGTTTTTGCTTTTTTTGTGGGTGCTGGGCACCTGAACTTGGGTCCTTACTTTACCCACTAAGCCCTCTCCCCAGATCTAGGACTAGACCAAGCTGGCTGGTCCATCAGTCCCAAGGAATCTGCCCGTCTCTGCCTTCCCTGTCTGGGATTACAAGCGTGTGCTGCCATGCCCGCGTGTGTGTTTAGTGTGAGTTCTGGGGGGCGGGGTGGGGAATCTAACATGCCTCTAGCACTGGTAGCAGCTGAAGTATCTCCCAGCCTGGCTTTGATGGGGGGGGTCTCTCAGCGTGTGGCTCACAAAGTCTAATCCACCTCAGACAGTGTGGATGTTTGGAGAGCCCCTGCAGGGTGGGAGCCAGGGTTTGGAACCTTAACGTGGTCCTCAGAGCTCTGAGCTGATCAGGTGTGCCAGTTCCCAGACAGGTCCCAGACCATGCTTACCCTCCCCCGCGCCTCCTTGGAGTGTGTCTTCCCTGGCTGGTCACGTGGCTGGGCGACCTTGGTAACACCTGGAGCTCCAGCCCCATCCCCAGTCATCAGGTGCCTTTTCCCAGGAAGACAGGGCTTTGATTCAGGGGTTTGGGGTTGTTTTTGTTTTTGTTTGGAGGAGGGGACAGGGTTTGAAATAGGGTCTCTCTGTGTAGCCCTGGCTGGCCCAGAACTCAAGACCAGGTTAGCCTCAAAAGTCTGCCTTCCCAAGTGCTGGCTTAAAAGCATGCCCCACCACACCCAGCAACTTTTTAAAATTTTATTTTGAGACAGGGTCCCACTATGTAGACCAGACTGACATCAAATTCACAGAGCCCGGCCTGTGTCTACCTTCCTAGTGCTAGGATCAAAGGGTGCTGGGAACTGAACCTTGATCCTCTGGAAGAGCAGCAAGTGCTTCCAACTGCTGAGCCCTCTCTCTAGTCCCTTGTTTTTGAGACATGGTCTCTATCTGCAGCTCAGAGGGAACTGCCTTGGCCTCCCAAGTGTTGGAAACAGAGGCATGCACCACCTTAGCTCCTCAGTTCTTTCCCACAGGTCTCAGGGCGCCCACACCCTGTTCCTGCCTCAACTGTAAAGTGATGAATGGTGTGCCTGGAACTACCGCTCTAATACACAGGGCTGTCCACACTTTAGGCCTTGGGGCTTAGGCCCAAGCCATGGCTTTCTGGAGGGTCGGGGAGAGTTGGAAGAGAGTAGGGTGCAGGCCTGGGGTTGTCGGGAATGTTTCGCTTCAAGGCTGTCTTCAACAAGATGACTGGCCTCACCGGGCCTGCTGGGGCCACACCTGTAATCCCAGCACCCAAGACGTTGAAGCAGAATTTTGGGTGCAAGACCAGCTTGGGGTACATAGCAAGACTGTCCTAAAAACAAAGAGACACTGACCATATTGATGTGAGCAGAACAGACTCATGCTCTCAGAGTTTCCATTCCAGTTGATGTGACAGGACAGAGTGAGGGATGGGAACCATAGGAACCTGCTGCCCGAGGGGGCCTTCTCAATAGATGGCCCTGGAGGAATGGTGTGGCGTGGGAGGGTAGTGTTCTTCACCACTGTGCGTGCTGTTCCAGGGACTCCCAAAGGTGTGGACTTCACAGCTGTGAAGAACCTTCTGCTGTCCGTGGACGGGGTGGAAGCCTTGCATAGTCTGCATATCTGGGCGCTGACCGTGGCCCAGCCGGTGCTCTCGGTCCACATAGCTATCGGTGAGTGAGGCTGAAGAGAGAAGCAGCCAGAAGCCTGGGGCCATGCCGAGGGTTTGCCGAGGGTTTGTCGAGGGTTTGTCGAGGGTTTGCCGGCCTCTGGCCACATGCTGAGCATTTAAATGCCCTTTGATCCCCTCCACTGCATTTATGGAGAAAGATGACTGAGGGCTTGGGGTTGGTCAGGTCATGTGCGCAGCAGCAAGGGAGTGAGTGGCTGGGGAGACAAGCGGTAAGGCCAGAGCTTTTCTTGCTCTCTCGGGCCCGCCTAGCGCAGGATAGCCCCTGGCATCTCTTGTCCCTAGTCTGTTCCCCAGGGGTAGACGTGAGGTCAAACATCCCATGTTTTTCTCTTCCCAGCTCAGAATGCTGACGCCCAAGCTGTGCTGAAGGTGGCGAGGGACCGCCTCCAGGGCAAGTTCAATTTCCACATGATGACCATCCAGATTGAGAGCTACTCTGAGGAGATGAAGGACTGCCAGGAATGCCAGGGCCCCTCAGACTGACTGACTGGCCAGACACCACGGGAGGCACGGCCAGGACCTGTGGGTGGCGCATCGAGGGTCCAACCAGGACTCAGGTTCAAGACACAGCCTGGTCCACGCCCACGCCTAACATCGCAGCTGGAAAGGCACTGAGGCACAGAAGGGGACTCTGGCGTGTCCCCTTCTATCCAGGGTCTTTGTGTCTAGAACAAAAAAATGGAACAAGACACACGTTACTGGAAAGTCGGGCTTCCTTTTGCAGGGTCAGTCTCATTGATAAAAGAATTTTGAAACGGACTCAGAAGGATGCTTTGAAGACCGTTTTATTAGAATTTGGGAGAACACCACACAGGCCTAGCAAGCTGTGAATATCAGCGGCTGCTGGAAGGAGGAGAGAGAAGGGAGAAAGCAAGCCACGCCTTTTGAGTTAGGGTCAGCCGTGGAGTTCTGTAAAGGGCTGAGCGGCTGTGTTGGGGGGAGGGGCTAGGGAAACAGTGAGAAAACTGAGCGTGTTGGGGCAAGCATGCTTAGGGCTTTGGTCAGTATCCAAAGACGAACTAGAGAGCTGGGGAGACTCTGGGTAGAGGGCTGCCACAGAACCAGGGAGACCTGGGTTTGGACGGTCCGCACTTTGTACTTAGTGGGAGGTGGAGGTAGGATCCGTGGGGCTTGCTGGGCGCCTAGTCTAACCACGTCTCTGCCGTCTAGGTTCAGTGAGAGACTCTACTTCAAAAAAAGAAGTTGGAGAGCAATGGAGGATACCTGCTGTGGCCTCCACGAACACCCCTCCCTCTCTCTCTCTCTCTCTCTCTCTCTCTCTCTCTCTCTCACACACACACACACACACACACACACACACACACACACACACACAATTTAAAGATGAAAAATGAGATAAAAACAGGCCAACCTAGCAGTTAAGGTACATAAGCAACTGTCTTGTATGTGGGGGATGGGCAGAGAACCGTAAGTGCCCTGATTAAGGGGCTGGCTGATCGTGCCTTTCAGTCCCTTAGCACATCTTTGGGTGACTGGCAGGCCCGGTTGAGTGAACTCTCTAAAAAGAATGTGTGTGGTGGTCAGAGGACAATTTTGTGGAGCTGCTTCTCGCCACCGTTATGTGAATTCCTGGGATCAATGACGGGTTGTCGGGCCTGAGCCACCCTTGAGGGAGGGGACAGTGGTATGTAATGTTCTAATCTTTGGAGCAGGTTAGACTGTCCTAGCTTCACCCTGGGCCAGGGTAGAACTTGGTTTCCATTCTTTGGACCGGGAGGAATTTCTTTCTAGGAGACTGGCCTCAAGGATGCCCTCCTGACTTGCTCTTCCCCAGTCGGTCCCCACCAGCTGCCTCATGAACCTGCAGCCATCGGGAGCCCCTGCCTCCGCCCATAATGGCTTACTAAGGCCATCACCCTGAGATGTGGGGCCAAAGGGCACCTGAGGCTTCTCTGTGTCTTGATCACTTTGGCTGTGGGCCCCACGTGACTTCCTGGAGGAGGAGGCCTCTTACTAGGGAAGAACCTGGCTGGTTTCTTCCTTCCTGGTACCCCAGCCCAGGAAGCTGTCAGTGTAGCCATGGCCTTGACACAGGTGACGGGGACAGATTCCAGTTGGGACCATGCCCTCAACAGTCCCGGAGCAAGGCCACCTCCCTTGACCTGATACTATCCCAGGAGATTGTAGGCTCTGTTGCCTGGATGCAAGAGGAGAGACCTGTCCCGTCTCATAGAGGTGACAGGCCTAGCCCTGGGCCAATGTGTACATCTGAAGTAGGCCAGTCCTTAAGGCTGTCACTTCTCAGTGCTTGTGACTTATATGGAGACCAGGAACTTCGGGACACCTTCCCCCCAGGACTGAAGACAGCCGAGCCTGTCACACACCTGCTGGTTGTGTCTTGGTCACTTTGATCAGGGTTCTAGAAAAGGGACTCTGCAGTTGAGGCTGTTGTGAAGGGCCAGGCCAGCTTCCCAGCCTTCTGTCTTTATTTTGTTCTGGCAGGTAAGAGGAGAGGCAGTGTTTGCCTCCACCAACACGACCCCATTTTTAAAATAAATGGCAAGCGTCGGGCGGCGTTGGCGGTGGTGGCCCACGCCTTTAATCCAGCACTCGGGAGGCAGAGGCAGATGGATCTCTGAGTTCGAGGCCAGCCTGGTCCACAGGACAGGACAGGCACCAAAACTACACAGAGAAACCCTGTCTTCAAAACAAACAAATAAATAAATGGCAAGCATTTGCTTTCTATTTTTGGAGTTTGTCTTTAGGGATTTTAAATTTATGTGTATGAGTGTAGCTTGAGTTTTCTTGCCTGGCCCACAGTCAGGACAAATCTCTCTCACCTGCCAGTCCCACAGCCACTCAGACCCAACCAAGTAAACACAGAGACTTATATTGGTTACAAACTGTATGGCTGTGGCAGGCTTCTTGCTAACTGTTCTTACAGCTTAAATTAATCCATTTCCATTAATCTATACCTTGCCACATGTCTCATGGCTTACCGTCATCTTTACATGCTGTTTCTCATCATGGCGGCTGGCAGTGTCTCTCTGACTCAGCCTTCCACTTCCCAGCTTTATTCTCCTCCTTGTCCCGCCTATACTTCCTGCCTGGCCACGGGCCAATCAGTGATTTATTTATTGACCAATCAGCAACACATTTGACATACAGACCATCTTGAGTGTTTTGCCTTGCAGATATGAATGAGCACCACATACATACCTGGTACCATTGGAGGCCGGAAGAAGGCATCAGATCCCCTGGAACTCAAATTAGAGGTGGTGTGAGCCACTATGTGGGTGCCTGGACTGAACCCAGAGTCTCTTAACCCTGAGCCATCTCTCCAGCATTTTAGTTTCTGTTTTGTTTTGTTTTGAAGACGGGCTACTTAGGTAGCCCAAGATAATCTTGAACTCCTGATCATCTTAAATTTTTTACATCGTTTATTTTATGACCATTGGTACTTTTTGTCTGCACATGTCTGTGTGAGGGTGTCAAAAGCCCTGGAACTGGAGTCAAACAGTTGTGAGCTGCCATGTGGGTGCTGGGAATTGAACCTGGATCCTCTGGAAGAACAGCCAGTGCTCTTAACTGCTGAGCCATCTCTCCAGCCCCTTAACTTTTTTAATTGATTATTATTGTGTATCCGTGCACAATGTGGGGAGTTCGTGTGGAGGTCAGAGGACAACTTTTGGGAACTGGTTCTCTTTCCACCATGGGTCTAGGGATGGAATTCAGGTCACCAGTCTAGTATTCTCACCCACAACCCACAGAGCGGTCTCAATGGCCTAGTTTCTGATCCTCTTGCCTCTGCCTCCTAAATGCTGGAATTACAGGTATATAGCAGATACATCTGGCTTTTCAGTTTTTAATTTTAGATAGTCCATGCTAGCCTGTAGTTCCAATCCTCCTGCCTCAGCCTCCTGGGTACTGGATTACAGCATGTACCATGCACCACCCTTGACCTCTCATTCGACTCTCTCCATCTGTTAAAAACAACTTCCTGCCTTTTAGCACTGTCACTGGTCTCCTGTGACTTAGGCTCAGGGGTCCTTCAGCTCTTCAAGGTTTGTGTGGAATCAGTGTGACCCTGGAATGGGGAAGATGCTGGCAGCTATGCACTCCTCTAGTTTCAAGTAACCAAGTGCCCACCCCTCAGCCTCCACCACCCCCCAGATTCTGGATACTGGGCATCTCTGTGTGCCACGTCTTTATACCTCTCAAAAGATGGTCATTGCTGTGCTTTTTGTGGTTGCTGATATGTTGAGATAAGTCTCTCTGTGCCTGTGGTCCAGGATGGCCAGGGACTTTCAGAGGGTCTCCTGCCCCTCCTGAGTGCTGAGACCATAGACACGAGCTCCTGGACCGTCTTCTTCCTCTTCCTTTTAAGTAGTGTGGTGTGTGCGCATGCGTGCGTGCGTGCGTGTACACTTACCTGTATGTGAACCACGTGTTTGGGTGCCCTTCCTCTGGAAGGGGAGTTATAGGTGTTTGTGAACCATTTAATGTGAGTGCTGGGAACTCAGGCAAGGTCCTTTGCAGGGTTATTTGTAAGCACCTAGGGAGCGATCTCTCTAGCCCTCACAGCTTTCATTTTTATAGATGAGATAACAAGGTTCAGAGAGGCAAAGTCACAGAGCGGATGTGAGACAGACATCCGCATGACTTGGCTAATCTGTTACAGCAGGGGTTGAGACCTAACCTGAGCAGAATCCAACAGTGCCTTCCACACAGGCACAGCCAGCCGAAGGCAGCCGTTGTCCTGGGTGTCTGAGCCACAACTGCAAAGGTGCCTCCTGTCCCCTGACTGGCCCTGGCACTGGGTGCCCTCCATCCTTGGCGGGGTGCCTAGACTGCAGCTGTGTGGGTTCCTCACTCTCAACTGCTCTTGACCGTGGGCCAAGCCACCTCCCCACACTTTAATCTCCAGGCCCCGCTTGCACCCAAGCATCTGACAGCTCCCGGCTTCCAATAAACGGCCCACTTTCCACACCCAGCTGTGACAGGCTCCAGGAAGGACCTGAGTCACACAGGGGCCAGGAGAGAAGTTGGAGAAAGGGGGTGTGAGGCCTCAAGGGACAGACTGTTCCGGCCAACAACCTAGTCACGGGAGTTTCCACAGTGGCCGAAGCCATCAAAGAAGGAAAACACCTGATACCTTGGACCTGGGTTGGACCCCCACCCCCACCGTCTGGAGTCACCACAGTCCCCCACCACGCTCCCCCTTGACCCTGAGCGCCCGCCACATCGTGCAGCTGCTGTACGGGTATTTATAGCCTGAGCGTGAGTGGGCAAGGACACGTGCTTTATTTCGGAAGCGATAATTCCAGTTCCAGGTGATGAACCTATGAAAAGCACCGTCCCCACCCCCACTCCACTCTCACCTACAGGACGCTGGAGACAGCCCTCTCCTCGCAACCAGCCCATCTGCGAACCGCCCAAGCTCCAGTGTGCAGGGCAAAGTGGGGTTCTGTCATACTTCTCCCGAGTCCTCAGACTGGGGCTGCACACACCAGTGCCCCTCCACTTCCCTTCAACTCTCCCTCTCATCCGTACTCTTTAACTCCATCCATGGCCTGGCATTATGGCTCACGCCTGTAACTCTAACACTTGGGAAGCTGAGGCAGGAAGCCTGGGTTACAGAGTCAGACGTTGTCTCAATCCCTCACGGCCACCCTCCACCACCACCACCCCAAAAAAAGAAAATAAAATTCAAGAAAGAGCCGGGCCGTGGTGGCACACGCCTTTGATCCCAGCTCTCTGCAAAGCAGAGGCAAGTAGATCTCTGTGAGTTCGAGGCTAGCCTGGTCTACAAAATGAGTTCCAGGACAGCCAAGACCGTACAAAGAAACCCTGTCTTGAAAAACGAAAAATGAAAGAGAAAAAAAAATTTCAAGAAAGCAAAACCAGATTCCTTTGAAGGGAGAGCGGTACAGCAGCTGACCTCTAGTGGTGAAGATTGGTAGTGCAGTGCTGCTAGTCTTGATTCAGCCCAGCAACCCTGGTGTCTATCGATGACTGCTTTTTTGTGAACTAGGAACACCAGAGCAGGGGATGGAATTTTGCCTCGTGCACACTCTGCCCATGTTCCACCACGCTGGCATCCAGCTAATACTCTTGCAGCTATAGGTCAAATATTTACCATGCACCTGCCAGACCGAAGAAAGGAGGGGCAGGATTCGCCCTCTGGAGCTCCTAGGCCCGTCCTGGGACCGGGCGGTGTGCCCAAGCACTCAGGGTGAATCGTGCAAGGACTTCGAGACCACCAAGGAGGTGAGTGGGCATGCGGGTCAGTAATGGAACAGGCAGAGATGCAGAGAAAGGCATTTCAGGGACCGGGATCAGCCTATGTCCCGGCCTTTGCCAAACCAAACGCTGTCCCGCCGCAGCCAAGGGGAGACCCCGCCCCTCAGGGCGCCCTGTCGTGATTGGCCAACCGGGACATGACTTATGCGTTCTCTCCTGTCCAGCCGGCAGGGGCAGCGCTCTGCCTAGGGCTTCTCTAGACTGCGGTACTTCTTGCGTTGCACAGACACCGGGTCCTTGAACAGTACCGGGTCCAGACGCACTCGAGAGGACACCAGAGGCATGTGGCCGAACCCCGCTGCCACACGGTTGATGCAGTCCTGAGCCAGAGGCTGAGGCTCTGGTCCCGGTCCAGGTCCCTCAGCGGCCTAAGAGGTGGAAGGGAAAAGTATCCATGAAGCTTGTTTTTTTGAGCCCCTACCCCTGCCGCAGCAAGAAAGATTTGGATTAGATGGCAAGAGAGAATCCACGCGTTTCCTTCCCCAATCCGTGCTTTCCTAGTGAGGACCAGTTCCCGGAGGGCTCTCACCAGTGGGGCAGCCTCCTGGTGCTGCCTGCCGTAAGGCACCTTGATAGGGGGCAGCTTGGTGACAGTTGCCACCAGGAAGTTCATCAGGACGTCCACACAGGTGGGAGTGTCATCTGCCATGGTCCTCAGGGTCTTAGGCAGGGAGTGGGTGAAGAGGGTGTGGTAATACCTGTAAGGTATAAGGTAAGCCTTAGGCAGCGGGGAGAGACAGGGAACGGCTGCAGGCAGGATCCATTCTTCCTTTGACCCAGACCTCAAGCCGTTTTCCAAGACCTGTACCCCACCCCCTAACTCCTCCCAGGGAGCTCCTGTCCTGGGCATGACCAGCTCTCCAAGGGCCCTGTTGCTTAGGGGATGGGCAATGATGTGTTGTTCTCTATCCTTCCAACCCCTCCTTGGGGCCCATTTTCTGGGCTCCCAAGTCTGAACCCTGACAGAGTTAGACTTGGTGGTAGAGGGAGTACTAGATGGTTCCAAAGCCATCAAACCTGGCTACCCAAAGATCAGCTTCAGGGAGACTGTAAAAGCTGGGCCCGCTCTGCACACATGAGGATTACCCTTCTCCACCCTGAGAGCGCCATGCAGAGCTCCTTGGAAAAATCTATAAAAAGTTCCACGATACATGGATGAGGTTTAAGCAGATTACAGAATCACTTTCAGGAGGCCCCAGAAATCAAGCCTGCTGGGGAAACCGCACCTGTAATCTCAACACCCAGGAAGACAGGAAGTTCTCATACTTGAGGTCAGCTCGCACACCTGAGCTCAGCTTGGGCTGCACAGGGGGGCCCTGTCTCT